TAAGATGCTGTATGCAAATCCATAATAATTAAGTGTTGTATATTTAAATGTCTCTTAATGGGGGGAACTCACATAAAATTTACATTAAATTATTTTCAAGCATTTTCAACAGTACTCAATAACTTTATTATGCTATGTTGTAATTTTACAAATGGTTTCATATTTGCCTTCTGTCTCTGACTAAATCTCTTTCCTTCTCTTATTAATCTTTTGCACAATGGGAAGTCTAATTAATAATGTAAGCCACAGCTTTCAGAGAAATGAGACCATCAATTTAATGTCATTCACCTTTTGTTGCAGACAAATTGTTTATTAATCTTTTGCAAATTATGCTCATGTTTTAATAAAATACTATAGCTTGGAGCAAAATTCGGTTTGATCATAGAGACCAGAAATACTGTTTTATGCATAGTACAAATATGAACATTTAAATACTGTTATTTTATTTATTTATTAGTATCCCACCTTTATTATTTTTACAAATAACTCAAGGCAGCAAACATTTGACATACTTTCCTCCTCCTATTTTTCCATAACAACAATCCTATGAGGTAGGCTGGGCCAGTGGTAGGCTGCAACAGGTTTAACAACCAGTCCTGTGAGCACACGCATCATGCGTGGAACATTGAATAAACACCAATTTGAAACTCTACAGCTCACCTTCTAGCCTTCCCCAGTGAGTAGAACAGCTGAGGCGTGGTAATCCACTTTGCCGCGCGAATCAGTTGAGCTGCAAAAGAAGGAAATGTAAGACAGGATAGGGCAGGTGAAGATGGGTGGGGCCAACTGATTGTCTTTCATACCGATTTGCTAGAACCGGTGCGAACTGGCAGCAGCCCACCACTGGGTTGGGCTAAGAGAGAGTGTTTGGCCCAAAGTCACCTTACTGGCTTTAATGGCTAAGACGGGATTTCAACTCACAGTCTTCTGCTTTCTAGCCTGGTGCCTTAACCACTTAACCAAATTGGCTCAGTTAGCAATATAAATTAATAGTAATAATGAAGCATCATACATACCTCTTTATACCATATTATTCTTTGCTTCTTCTCCACACTTCTTTGCTTTTTGCCTGAATATAAATAAGAAAGAAACTTTCACTCCACAATGATGATTAAAGAGTTATGTTGTTTAATGGGCTAAGGAAAGCTTCCCTAAGATCAAGAGCCACTGACAGTCATCTCTATATGATTGAAAAAAATGCTGTCCATTACATTTCTAGTTGTAGAATCTTGCAAATTGTAATTTTGTTTTATGATTTTCTGTCAAGAAAAAATATACTCTTTTTATCATTTGCTAGCACCTACTTGAAAGCCAATTTGGTGTAGAGGTTAAGGCATCAGACTGGAAATTGGGAGAGCCTGAGTTCTAGTTCTGCCTTAGGCACAAAGCTAAGTGACTTCTTGGGCCAGTCACTTTGTCTGAGCCTTAGGAAGGAAGCAATGGCAAACCATTTCTGAAAAAACGTACCAGAAAAACTGCAGGGATTTGTCTAGGCAGTCTCCAAAATTCAGACCCAATTGAATGAAATAAAAAAAAATCCACAACTACTTAGCCAACCAACAATTTGCCATTTTAATTATTTATTCATTAGAGTTTTATAACAGCAAGTGTATTGTATTGGTTAAGGAAACCCAAGGAAAACAGTGAAGTTAGCCTTACTTTTATTAAGGAGCTCAATATTTTTATACTGCCCATTAAAGCAGGTGTGCCTTTTCTGATTAGATTGATTAAATTCTCACATGAAAATGGAATTCTTTTGTATAAGTGAACATCAAACCAGAACTTCCTTAAATATTTCTACAATATGATTATAAATGAAAATGGAAAACATGTTTTGCTGAGATTGGAATAGAACAACTTCAACTAAAACATGCCATTGAAACTTTCTGAATGGTTTGTGTCCTGATGTAATGAAACAGTTTTAAGGATTCTATTTGCTGTTGAAACAAAACACATTTCAAGTATTTTAGTTATAAGAAACAATACAACATAATACGAATCTTTTGTTCTCCTCCCACCCATACAAATACTACAAGAATAGATGGGGCTATAGGCTGTAAGCCAGCCAATTTACATAAAACCACTAGTGATATAATTTTAAAAAATTCTGAAAGAATAGAATTAAAACAAATTTAACAATTTGCCTTTCTTCCTAGAGAATCAATCTTCACTTTGTTAAATAAAGCCCCTTAGGCTATAAGGAAACGAATATATTATCTACATTATTTACCTACTTTAAAACATTTGGCAGTTAAAAAATTATTAACATGTTTATGCTATACCCAATGTGGTGCTTACATTTTTGCTTTATAATTACAATATATTAGCAAAAACCTGTTCTACAACCAGCAGGTAAAATATATTCAGAAAGCTCACAAGAGGGCAAGAACAGTCTCATATAGCCTTATACATAGCCACATTCTTAGCCAGCAACAAACATACAACCATACACCCAGCAGAAGTTAAAGAAAAAAATTTAGCAGCACAGGAGGACAAGAGACGATGCAGAATCTTCTGTTTTGGCATTTTACGATGCTGTTTAGAAATTCAGCATAGTAATAAGCACAGAAAAATATAACAAAGCTCAAAACAACTAAATTAACATGGTATTAATTTCTGCTTTTACACAGGCTCAACAGCATTAGCAACATTTTTCTATGAAACCCAGTAGAAATTGCAACCACCCACCAACATGACCTGAAGCTTTCCTATAGTAAAGACTTTAAAAAAAATAAAAAGAAAAACTACAACTTGCCAAGTAGTTTGGCAGGAATGCAACTACAAGCAATCTTCTGAATGGCCATGTGCTTAACTGCTGTTTTTTCTCAACACTCTATCACCCGTAACAGCAAGGATATAACTAGTTCCTGCCACTATGCTGGTTAGGCTAGAAGAAGGTTGAAGAAAAGCAATTCAATTAAATAACATCCAATTAAATAAGTTAAATAAGTTGGAGCATGCAACTGATGCCACTCAAAGCACTAAGTTTTATCTTAATCCCAAAACAATCTTCTTAAAATGTGAATGCATAAACATGGAAACATTTTGAATGTTACAAATTAACATTTTATCAAACCTACCGAATAAAACGGTATAAATATTCATAATATTTTAGCATATATTTTAATAAAAAATATAATGGTCTTCTTCATATTTGAAGGCTTTCTAATTTTCTGCTCCTATTTTTTTTGTCAGTTTTTCTCCCTTTTATTTTGATGGTATCCATGAATATGCATCAATGCAGTATCTCTAATCATATCCTCCTGGTCAAAGCTTCAGTCCAAGCTACAGTATGTGAAATGGCACTTCATAAACAGTTAATAGGATCTGGGAAGTGTTGTTAGCTCTTGCATAACGTGTTCACATATTGCAATCCCATCCTTTCCCTTCTGTTAGAGAATCATAACGGGACTGTATTTTGGCAGAAGAAAGGTGCTATATTCTTCAAACTAGCAGTTCTAACTTCTTTTATTTGTTTTTCCTAATTACAAACCTTTGCTGACATGCCTTGAAATGACTTTTTAAAAACAATTTCACCTTTCAGCTGTTAGTCTTGACTGTATGAATCTTCATTAATGTGCTTATAGATATATTTCTATGTAAAAAGACATTATAATTAAACAACAGATGCTTCATTAATTTAGGAATAAAGGCCGGGTATGTTGTTTTCTCTTTTCTTAGTGTATGAATACAGTAGTTTTCACTTTGATGAATGAATGGCTCTATTTACCATTTTTATTACTAATGAACTGGACTGTTCAGTAAAAATGATGTGACAAAAATATATGACATTTAGTTATTTCATACTGGAGAAAATAAACCCCATCACTAAAATGGTTTCTGTAGTAATATTTTCAGTTTATATATTTAGGAGTTATTGACATTCATTTAATTAGTTTGGACCAGAACTTTTGGCTAAAATGTAACTTCATTTATTTTAGCCCACCTCAACCTGGACCAGAATAGCAATCTGTTTCTACTTGATAGTTTAAGATATGAATATAAGAAGAGTACACAGCTCTTCTTATAGTATAAGAAGAGTAAACAGCTTGTCAAACTTGGATTCTTAAAATATATATGCTAAACTGAATAGTTTTATATTATATTGCAAGTTTACATGTGGTATTTTGTACAATACAGCTGTTATGAGTTACTTCATATGTTATCTTTTCTTTATATAGCAGAAAGGTTTGTATTTATTATGGTAAGAAAAATATTAAACACCTCAGTTGTGTGTGTGTGTGTGTGTGTGTGTGTTTGTGTATCATAGTGGGTAAAGATTTTATTAATTTCATTCATCAAATGTTGCATGCTTATTACAAGGAATATCAGAGGTAGTAAAGCTCATCTTGGAAATTTCATATTATCATGATTGTCTTATGACCTTCTAATATCTCTGACTATGATAAACAAGTGTCTATGATTACAGAATAATATTTTCAGAACCAAATTCTGGTAAAGAAATGTAAAGGTAAAGAAATTACAGTTACAAAATGTTCCCACCCAGTTTACCATAATTTAGCTCAGAAGTTGGAACAATATTATTTGGTGTGCCATGCGCTATAACAGAGGCGTGTTTGGAAGTTGCCGAGGGGCAAATATTAGAAGAAACATGATGGTTGTAAATGTTATATGATAAACTGCAAGATGGCTAGCAATCGTGTATTTCTCTTCCTCATCTGACTTCCTTTTAATTTGAATGGATGCCCTGACTAATGTAATAAATATATACTGTATATTCAGTTCCGCATATGAAAACCTGGCAACAACTTGTTCTCTTATTTTCTAGTATCAGTTTAATGCTGTCACACCAATGAATTGGAAAATTGTGCACTATATACTGTAGCTATGTGAGATGACAGTAACGTGCTTATTCTCCATCTTATTTCTCTTTTAACTAGTTCCACATCTTGTGGCAATGAATTTCATAAATAAATAAAATAATATGCCATTGAAATACATAGTTGTTGATCATAAAAAGTAATCTGTGTTTTTTTCAGATTCTGGTTCAAAAAACATAAGCCTGACTAAGGCTCTAGTAATCGAAATTGCATTTATGTTATATCCTCCTGTTGGTCTCAAATTGAAAACAGCCGCTGCTCCTCGGTCAACCTGGGTGAAACCAATTGTTGATGGAGAAGATTCTTACATGTATCTAGGTAAACATTTTTAAATTGATTCCTTTTATAGGAGTGTTACTACCTCAATTTTCTACAACTGTCATTTATCATTATAAATTTGTAATTTACTTTTGTAAATGGAAATGGAGCATTTGATACACTCTCTGGGGTGCCACACCACCAACCTTTTGACTAACCATGGTTTTGCTATATTGTCCTCACTAGCTGAATATCTCAAATGTTTTCAGTGTGGTAAATAAATATACTTGCATGTTTAAATCTTGCATAGAGCATCTTAAGCCAATAATTCCTCAGGCTGAGCCAATACGCAGGTTACTTTTTATACTAATTTAACATTTTAACAGTTACCAAGAAAATAACCAGATACAGAGTGTTCTACTTTTCATAGGGTACTCTGGAATCCTTGTGATGAAATTTTAGCCTACTGTCTAATTAATACTATTAATCAGTACTCTTACATGTTGGACTAGCTATTTCCAGTATGGATTATACAACAAAGGGAAGCCTGACAGCTAGTTGAATAAGCAAACTAATCATGTTTTTTGTTTCAAACTGTACCATCATTGGGTTAATTTACCCCAGAGCTTTTACTTTTTTTGTGAATCAATCATATGTTCACATTCATAAAAATAAAAATATCATTAATCTGCTCTGAAAATGGTTGCCAGGGTTAAATTGAGTTTTAAAGTGATTAATAAATACTCTGAAAAGCCTAAAATGGTTAGGACTTCAAAGCAAATATCCTGAAGGTGTCATTTTGTAAGATATGTTGAGTGCATTGAATGATAGTAAGGACAATTGGTATTGCATGCTTTTCAATTGCATCCAAAGGTTTTCCACTTAGTTTTGCTACATGAAATTTTTCCAATGGATAACTAAATGCTTATAAAGAAAGACTGAATTTTGGGGGGTTGGGGAGAATGCACAATTCAAAATGGGCACAAAGCAAGGGATAGAAAACGGATGTTCCAAATATGTCAAGAGTTTTTGAAAAAATTTGCAGCTATACTACCTACACAACATTGCATTATTGAAAGAGAGCCATTTACCCTAAGAGGTGGTGGAGAGAGAAAAAGCAGCTGAAAGTCAGATATTTCAGATATATCAATTCAGACTTTGCAGAAATTGGTATTTAATGATGTGAATATGTCTACATATTCATAAGCAATAATTCAATCATTGTAAGATATGGAAAATAAATTTCCATTGGAAATTTTAATATACAAGTAGATCAGCTGAGAGTTTTATAAAAGTTTTATACAGCACAAAAACTTTGGATGAAGCTAATCTCAAACTCTGATTAGCAAACTTGATAGCAGTTTCAGAAAGGTAGTTATATTTTCCTTACTTCCTTATTTCTGGAGAACCAGTAGCAGAAATTTTGAATAATTCAGAGAACTGGCAAATACCACTTCTGACTGGAGATTTTACAGTATCCTTCCCCTGCCACGCCCACCAAGCCATGCCCACAGAACCAGTAGTAAAAAAAATTTGAATCTCACCTCTGCTTCAAATGCAATGCACTGAGTAGCTTCTGCTTTCTCCTGCTCTTGGTTGGTGAGATGGTGCCAGGAGAGGTATTATTGCATTCACATTTCTTTTTCATTCAGAAATGAGCTCTTCATCTACTCATACTTTGTTGTTCTTCATCTACTCATACATTTGGCCTAATGAACTATTACTAGCACTTTTTGTAACAAGTCCTGGAAGCTAATCATATATTTTCTATGTGATTATATGAGGTACATTTTTCAGCCACAATGGCTCTTAAAGTAGTTGATAAAAAGATTGTAGCAGTTGCATTTAAGTTGCACTTAATCTGTTTGTTTTTAGCACTGTGAATTTTCTTATTTTCAATCTTTGTAAATATAGCCTTCAGATTTTTAAAATGCGTTCTATAGTAAATATCAAAATATCAAACACATTACTTCTTTTTTTCTGTCCACTTTTACTCTACATTGACTTGGACTGATGATAAAGAAATCTTGAAATACTATTTTAAAAGGTGAGAAGAAAGGCTATGATAGTGTGTGCAAAGTGGGACATGAAAACAGATTGTCACAAAAAATTTAATCCACTGAGTTGCAAAAAGCACTGCCATTTTATTCACTTTCACTAAGATGCCAACAGAAAATGGACCACTGATTTTCTATTACTCTCTGTGACAAGAAATCACATAATATATTTCTTGCAAGTGAGTTGATAATCTGATCAGTTGATCTGTGAAGATCAAAGAGTATAATTCAGCAATTGTTAATGACAGGAAATGAGAGTAATAGGAAAGTGTCTATATGTAAAAAAGGAAGAAAATGTCTTCCAAGTCAGCAATTTCTATAAACATTAGAAACTTCATAACTTATAGTAGGAGTGTCAAACTCAATTTCATAGAGGGCTGCATAAGGGTTGTGTTTGACTTTTGGAGGCTGGGGTTGGTATGGTCAGGGTAGACATGGCCAACTCAACATCACTCGCATTGGGGGCACCTGTGGTGGCCAAGTGCTAAGACAGGACTTCCCTCAGACCGTCCCTCCCTCCCTCACATTATAATCTCTTTCCTTTTCTTCCTTTTCCTTCCTTCCTTCCTTCTCCTCTATCCTTATTTTTCCTTCCTTGCTCTCTTCCTATCTTTCTTTTTCTTTGTCTTTCCTCTTTCACTTTCTCATTTCTTGTTCCTTCTTGGATGCTCCATGCAAAAAGGGAAACATTTCTTTTTTTGTTTTGTTTTGCTTTTAGTTTATTTTGCTAGCCTTTTGCCAGTGAAAAGAGAGCTTGGGGGCCCATGAGTGGCCTCCCCCAGCTCCATTTTCAGCTGCAATGGCCTCCTGCAGCCCTCTGCCAGCAAAAATGGAACTGGGGGGGCATGCACAGGCACTGTAGGCTGATCCTTTGCTGTTTCCAGCATGGCCCCACAGGCCAGATCTAAGACCCCATGGGCTGGGTGTGGCCCAAGGGCCTTGAGTTTGACACCCCTGGCTTACAGGTTGAGAATCAGTGGACTTGGTTGACTTTAGAATAACTACTGTGTGCATAAGACAGCATTGTTAGTCTTGAAGAGATGTGCCAAGCAGAAGTGGGGATGTTCATGACTGTATGTTTTAAGATTATGTTTATTTTTAATAGGTATCTCTAAGCTTCAGTATTGCGAAGATAATAGTCAGAAATTGCTATGCTAACTTTCCTGCTTTGCTCCAGGCTTCATATAGTTATTTAATGACATGATGGTTTCTAGGGGTCCTAGGGCTCCAGCAGTTGACTAACTAAATATGGGAGGTTTTTTTACAATATAAAGATCCTGCAAATTGTGTCATCTTTGTAACAAGATGGAATACCTCATAACACAGCATTAGGTTATGTGTGAGGGAGGCAAGCAGCCTCTTAATGGCTACAAGATGTTGAAAAGAACAGAACTGAAGCTGTATGGGGTTTCTGTCGTGACTCAAGAAAGCCTTTGATCATTTTAAATAAACTCAAACAATTAGCATCCTAAAAACTAGAATGTTTTTAATGGCATTCTATAAAGCTTGTTGACATGCATATTCAGGGTACTCAAAGGAAGGGAAAATACACTACTTTCATGATGGATAAGTGTTTTAGGCAATTCATGTTAAACCTCACAATGTTAAATTCAAATAAAATTGGTTAATTTGTGAATTTGTGCCTGCTTTGGATTATATAATGTACACAAAGTTCTTCTAAGTGTAGGCCTATATTTTCCTTTGCTATAAAATAAGCAGTTTTGGAAAGGGTTTCTGGTCAATAACTCAAATGTTTCTACTAGTTGGCCCCTGTTGAGATACTTGTAAGTTTACATCAGAAAATGCTATTTGAATTTTTAGTGTTACCATTTGAGATGTTTAATATTATATTTTGCTTTGTGTTGAGTCAAAAATAGCGAAAACATGGCTCGGTAGATGTTGAATATCATAAGCCTCCGCACCCATTTGGCCTTGCTTGCTGGAGCTGCTAGTAGTTGAGTAACTTATGGAGAATCATAGGATTCCTCATCTTTTGGATAGAGAGAACAAACTGTATAGCAGTAACCTAAATCTTAATAGACAACTTCAGGGGACAGAGTTCTGATTGATTAGAATGGGTTGTTAGCAACTCTAGACAGTTTTTCTGCTTGATATAACCTCACTCCCCTGATTTTTTTTTCTTTGCAAGTATATATCATATGCTGGCATTTTAGTTATAAAGCACCCCCCAGAGTCAGGCAGCTTATAAATAAAATAAAATAATAAAAATATATCCATTTCATGATCTGTGAACGATATGCTTCTGTGTCTTGAGGAGTGTTACTGTTCATGATTTTCTCAGAATATTGTATGTCAGGATTTAGCTTTGTGAATTTTAATCTTGTTCCTATGTTGCTTGCCAGTTCTGATTACTGCAATCACAGGCAAAAATGGGTTGGAAAGGTTAGAGTATAATAGAAACCCCTGGGCTCTGATCCATCAGATTTTGGCACGAGTTGAATAATCAAGCTACTTGTGTTTCAGATAGATTCTAGTGAATAAGTACCTACAGTATTTCAAGAAACATTTCAAGTAATTTGCCTGATATTTTCTAAAACCCTAATACTCATTTTTCAGCTGTTGGAAATGTTTTGCATTTATCTGCCAAAACTTATACAATTTTGAATGTTGAAATAAGCTTGTACAATAAACTCAGATATAGTAATTTCTCTAATTCATATTTGTTTACAAAAATTAATTTATATATCATACCATCTGATGAAGCATGTCTTTTAGGGAGGAAATGTCAATTGTAAGTATATTAAATTAGATATACTAGTTTTTATTTCTTCAGCAAAATGAAATAAGATAATATGTCTCTATGTTTCTAACATATATTATTAAGTATTTCTTTCTGAGATCTCTGTGTCTTTTGTTCAAGACTAAATCTCCTAGAAGATGGTTATTGATAAATTTTGTCCCATAAATTGCTATGACAACCCCACAGACTCTTCTCAGTACTATTTTTCCCTACTGAATGACATTGAACTAATGGTTGCAAAA